TGGCTCAGTCGGTTAAGTGTCCGACTTGGGCTCAGGTCACGATCTCACAGTTTGTGGGTTCGAGCCCCATGTTGAGCTCTGTGCAGATAAGCTCAGAGCCTGAGCCTGCTTCAGATTCTGTGTCTCCCTCACTCTCTCTGCCCCTCCCCTGCTCATGCTGTCTCTCTTCCTCAAAAATAAATAAACATTAAAAAAATTAAAGAAAAAAAAAAGAAATATGCAAGATCTATGGGGAAACACCATAAAACATTAGAGACAGAAAACGGATCTAAATGAAGACACACATCACATCCTGGATGGAAAGAGCTAATATGTGGACGTGAACTTTTAAAGTTAATTTATATTGAAATTATTAAATTTTTTATTTATTTTGAGAATCCCCAAAGAATTTGAGGGATGGGGAGATGGATGGACTATAAAATTCATCAGGGGAAAAAAACAAAACAAAACAAACTAGTGAAAATAGCTAAGATCATGGTAAAATTAAAAAAGGAGGAGGGAAGAGTAGGGATTTGCTTTACCAGATCTTGAAGTGCATGGCAAAACCTCAGTGACTAAAACAATGGACACTGGCACAGGAAGAGCAGATGGCCAGTGGAACAGAAGTAGTCGTCTAGAAACAGACTCAGCAGTAAACAAGAATTTAATATACAACAGAGGCAGCAACTTCAAACAGTGAGAGAAAACAAACAGTAGAAAATATTCTGTTAAGGGAAATGATAAATTAGAAAATTATGTGATATGCAAAGGGGCAATCTCTTTCAAATAGATCCTTTATATTATATAATCTCTTCATAAGAAGGAAAAAGAAACGTCAGAGTAGAAAATTGGGCAAATGTTATTTAACAGGTGATACACACACACACACACACACACAAAAATTATTTGACTATGCTAATAATGTAAGAAATGCAAACTAAAACAAGTTGTCTGTTTTTGTTTTTTATTTACCAAATTCATAAGGGTCTTAGAGTATCACCTTGTGAAAGTATACAGAAGATACAGCCTATAACTTGCCTGGTGGACAATCCAGCTGTCAACACTAAAAATTAGAACAATGTATATTATTGTTAATTTCACAACTATAAATTTACCCTAAGGAAATAATTATGATATTGGACAGAGATTTATCTACAAGGTGGTTTAAGGAAGTGCTTTTCATATTAGCAAAATACTGGGAAGAACATAAACAGGGGATTGGTTATACGAGTTATGGCACATACGTCTGAGGTAAATACTGGCCTGTGCTAAAAGTAACGTTAGAAAAGGAGACTTAAGGACACTGGAAAATATTCATAATGTAGCTTGAAAAGAAGATACAAAATATTTACTATATGATCCCATGTTGATGAAAAAAAGTATACACAAAAGTCTAGATGGATATGGAACTTAGCAGGAGTGTCAGCAGCCGTCAACTGTCCCAAGATCTATTACAGGTGATTTTTATATCTTCCAAAACAACTGTTGAGATACACTTCAAAGTTCACTGGTTTCCTCTGGCTGATAGAATTATGGATGATATAAATTGTTTTTAGAAAGACTTCCTATATTTCTCAAAATTTTCTAGAAGATTAGTTTTACAAAGAAAAACACCACACACTCACTTAAGGGTGTTTCCTTAGGAGGCTAGAGCCACAAAATTCGTTACAGTTAAGAGAAACACAGGCTAAGGGACAGGCATTCATATCTATAGTGATATTACTGAACCCTCCGCCCCAGGGGTTTCGTCTTCATCCGGTTCTGTGTTCCCAGCACCTAGTACACAGCTTCTTCTAACATCTTCTAATCTAGTGAATGGAAAATACCCCCACCTCCACCATTCTAGAAGGCTTTTATCTTCTCACCAATGCAAAGGTTATCAATATCGTGGTGCTGAGTCTAATATTCTCATAGTAGAGTCCAAAGGAACACCAAATATAATTATTCAGAATCTCTGAAGTGTCACAGGAAAGGTTTCTGTTTAAAAATCTAACCCAAGTATAATCAACTCTGCAATATCAAAGAGAAAAAGAATTCCCATCATTAGAAGTTCTTTTCCCAAGGTTTTGAGAGACAGGTCAATTTTTTTTATGTGATATTTTAAGGTATAAAGAATGGCTAAAGTGTATACGCATGAAGCTAGGTAGGATTCTTTTACAGGAATCAACCACTAAAACCAGGGAGACTACAAAAGCAACTATTCAACTGACTTCAAAACCGGAAGATTCTTAAGCATCTACACTAATAAGGGAGAAGAGCCTGATAACTTTGTTCTTCACTTGGACTGCAGCAACCAATGCTTGGTTAAAGAAATTTGAGTCTTTACTTCCTTCTTTTCTGTTCATGTGCTCTAGGCTAGAGAAGGAATTGTCAAGACTTTAAAAGACCAAATTCCAGAACAGAAAGGACAATATGGAAACCAGATATCTAACCCTTCAACAAGCAAAAGTTGACTGGTCATACAGAAGCAGTCTGAATTAAAAGCAGCTTGCCCAGTGGTGACTTCCACTCCAGTTTTCTAGATTCTTTGCCTCCAGAGCCTCTTGTGCATACCTCCATCTTAGCACATAGTATACTCACTGAAACGGTCTCTGTGTCTTTCTCGTTAGACAAACTACATTTCTCTAGGATGGGGACCATGCTGATTTAATACCCCAGCGTGAACTCATTTAGTACCTAGTATGGAGCACAAGTTCTTGAGACACTGTAGGCAGAAAAGAAATATCCCTGAACTGCTAAAATAAAAGGTCCAAATGACCTTTATTTATGACTGACATCGTGTGACATTCTTGCAGAGGTAAAAGGCATAGAGTTGTAGTAAGTGTAAGAGCCCTGATCTGAAGGGTTAAAATCTTAGTAATAATAAAAATAAGTGCCTAATGGAAATATAAAAAAATAAATGCCTAAGAGGTCGGGAATGGGGGAGGAGAACTGGAAGACTTTTCAGCACAAAGAGTCCCAGTGTCCCCAGTTCACCCAAAGGCATAAAGTTGAGAGAAAATCTAAAGAGGAGAAAGAGAAGCCACATTTGACTACTTTTCCACCTTAAAAGATACTTTTGAGTTCCCAATTCAGGATATGTAAATCCCTAAAGCATAAAGGAAGCTCTGACTTACAACAGTCAGTCATAATCACAGAGAAATTAAAAGGGAAGAAGAGGGCTGGGGAGAGGCAAATGTGCGGTGAGGCACATGCAACCCCTCAACCCCGCGCATGTGCACACACAAAATTCCTCAGTGGAAGAATGCTAAATGTTCACTCTGTTCCAAGATTCTCTTTCCTAGTAAGTCCGGTCTGTCCTTTCACTGACGAAACAGGTCATTCAGATCCTGACTTTCAGAGTCAGACCCCCTCTTCATAGAAGGTTTGCATGAAATAACCATATGTATTTACAGAGCCATTATTACACATCATCATCTTGTTCATGCAGAGCATTGAGAAAGCCACTCAGTCTGAACGGGTAGCCTGTATTTCAAATTGATGGGCGCTCAGAGACCAGAATGAGGCTTGCTCAATGGTTCTCAGCCCTGGCAGCATATGAGAATCACCTGGGGAGCTTTTAAAAATACTAGAGCAGAGTCTCAACACAAACCAATTAAATCAGAATTGCTAGGGGTGAGGTCTGGGCATTGGTTTCTCTCTTTCTTTTAAAAGCTCTACAAAGAATTACCATTAATTCCTCCACCCCCAGCATGGTAAAAGCAAGTGGTTACTTTTTTTTTGTAAAGTCTTTATTATTGATAAAAGATTTGCTTTAAAATACTCCATGGAGAGGGGTGGTTTTGATTATATAAGATTTACAAAATGTTGGTAATTGTTCAAGTTGAGTGATGGACACATAGGACTTGATTATTCATTCTCATGTGTCTGAAAATTTCTCTATTTTATAAAATCAGCAGAAATAAAATTTTTCTCCCCAAATAGATAAATGCACATATAATGTATTTAACATAATATTTTTAAGTTATTTTTTAATTAAAAAATTTTTTTAACTATTATTGACAGAGACAGAGCGTGCCAGGGGAGGGGCAGAGAAAGAGGGAGACACAGAATCCAAAGCAGGCTCCAGGCTCTGAGCTGTTAGCACAGAGCCTGATGTGGGGCTTGAACCCATGGACTGTGTGATCATGACCTGAGCTGACGTCGGACATGTAAATGACTGAGCCACCCAGGCATCCCTAAGTTATTTATTTATTCGAGAGAAAGAGAGAATGAGAATGAATCTGAAGCAGGCTCTGCATGGACAGCAAAGAGCATGCTGTGGGGCTTGAACTCACAAATTGCGAGATCATGATCCGAAACAAAGGCAGACGCTTAACCAACTGAGCCACCCAGGCGCCCCAAAAATATTTTTAGAAAAACATTAAAATAAAAACTTTGCAAACGACTCTAATGTACGACCAGAGTCAAGAACCGGTAGGCTACATTATTGAAGGTGGGGCAAAGCTGATTTAGAAAATAAAGATTTAAACAAATAGCAAAGAGGCAATCCAGGTGAGAGAGATCAACTCAGGCTCAGCCAGATGGATCCCAGTGAGGGTGGCAAGCCTCCTCTAGTGAATCACCATTTTGTGCTATGCATAGATTTGCCTGAATTTTGGAATCTTTATTCACAACTGTAAATACACACACACATATGTATATGTATTTATATATATCTGGGTGTGTACATGATTAAAGACAGAACTACCAATTATATTCAGTAGCATGTAATTTTTTTAAAAACACTATTTGTGAAACACTGCTCATGACCTAAAATGCTTTGGCCTGTGAAACAGTCACCAGGAAAGGCACTCCTCAGGAGAAGCAGGTTGCAGGAGTGAGGGGTGGGGTGTGGTCTATTGGAACCTGCAAGCCCTTCATCTGCCTAAGTGATTTATGGGCAGTGCTGCTTAGACGGCCTGAGTAAACTCTCGTATCAGGTGCTATTTGTGGGAAAAGACAAGAAAAGCAACCAAGTCTCAACGAACAGAGTATACATCAAAATGGCCCCTATCCCACCCGCAAAATCCCCAACTCACCTATTCTTCTCCATTTCATTGTGAGTTGATCTGAAAGAGGGAACAAGAAGAAAAGAGTAAGATTCTTCCTGTCTTAAAGGACTACTTCAACACCAGAACAATTCTTTAATTTCTTTCTCCCCAAAGTTGGTAGTAGAGAAAACTGACAAAGGGAGAAAAACTCGGTGGGCTCTGCTAAAGAAATTTGTCCCTCTGAGGGGTTAAATGTAAATATCTAAAATAGAGTTCAAGGAGAAGGGACAAACTTAAGAGGTGTGCAATCCCTGGTGGAAATAACAGGGGTCTCTACGTACAAAGAGGAAAGCAGTTGCCCAATAGGATACGAATTCGGGTTATAGAACACCGAAGCTTTCAGGCTGCAGTTACAACATTGGAGGTGGAGCCCCCTCCTAGTCCTGCAGTTTTTCCTAGGTGGGGTATATACGCCAAAACTTCATGCTAAGTTGTTTGACAAGAGGACACAATTTTAAATGGATAAAAACAGTACCTCTTCCCTCAACCTTTCTACTCCCTGACGTAATTATTTGATCACGTACAACCCAACAAACGCTACTGATGACTAGCTACCAAATGATTTCAGGAAGGGGCTTCTAAAACTCAGCTCAACATAAAGATGGCATAGACTGGTTAAAGCAACAGTTAGGGTGAAATCTGAAGTCCAGTTTTGTCACTGACCAGTACTGTAGAAGAAATAACATTCTTTACTATCTTGTCCTTGGTTAACCCTTCTGTAAAATGGGAGTAAAAATTACTGTCAATTATCTACTGAACATGCATGGATCAATGAGGTAGCAACTGTAAAAGTGATTAGAGAGCTTTGGACGAAAGCTGTGGTGAATGTGAAATACCATTATTAATGTGTTTATAGCTGACCTTGAATATAAGGTCTGGTCTAAGAATTTATGGACAGGTTTGCACAGAAATCCCGAGAAGCCAGTCAACATGGCCACTTCAGTGTTATCCTTACACAACTCCTCCCTAACTAATCATAAGCTTGAGGAACCTCCCAGCATTATAAAGGAGCTGAATCTTGACCTTTCTTAATGGAAACTCTCTGGAATCTAACCAGTTCAGGAGATAACATGAATTCTATGTGGCCACAATCAGAACCTTACTGGGCCTACAGAGAACTTCTCACAGTAATCACGGAGAAACAGGACCTCCACGAATACTCAGCCACTCATTTGTATCAGGTGGGCAACCACCACCAAGTTCATTCACACCAGAGAAGGGGAGCAGGGTGTACATGTGGGTTTGCAGCCTTGGGAAGAGAAATTTTCAATCTAGCACTAAAACTTCTCTTCCACAAGGATCTGGGACACCAATTTTTATTCACGAAGAAAACCAAGAAAATAACGACAACATTTTAAGTTTTAGAATATTTGTTTTCTAGATAAAGGACCTCACAATTAGCTGCCTTAAAAGATTTACACTGATTCACCTGGTTTTCCCTCTGCCTTCTTCAGTTACATTTTTCTGAAGGTTTACTTCCTGCAACGGCCAGCAGGATATCATAGTTAACAAGAGTCAGGCCTGCACCGCAAACCTTTGGCTTTAAAGCACGTGGCATTTTAGTTTTAACAGGGAATAGCAAGTTCAAAGTCTGACAGATTTTTTAAAGTATATAACAGCAGCTGGTCAGGATTTCCCTGTTTAACTATAGACAAGGACCATCCCAGGACAGTGGTAGAGAAGGGTGAATATTTGAAAATAGAATCTCTCATTACAGAAAATAGCACACAGGGCACTCTTACCAAAAATTTCTGGATTCTTTGAAGATACAAATAAGAAAAATTCTGAATCCCCCAAGAGAAACTTTTTAACAAATTCCATAGGAAGTACAACTCCTTCCAAACTTTGAACAGTTTTTGAAACTACAGATCTTATTCGATTACTTAAGAGTATTGAACGCATCATGGTTTTTACAAGGGGACTTCTATTTAATGGCTACAGCAATACTGAAGTGCATTTGGGTGACTGGAACGGAGTGTCTTTAATAAAAGTAAGCCTTTCAAAAATCCTCAGTCCAGAGATTGCTTGCCAACTGTTAATGGGTAAACATTTTTTAATTAAAGCATTATAAGAACACATAGATATCTTGTGTCAAGATTATTTTTCATGTGATTATTGAAGATGTTTGGTAACTCTGAAATCACTGGTAAAGGTCAAATGTCACCATTAAAAATATATTCTAACAAAAAGATAACTAAGCCAGACTACAGAGTGTATGAGAATAGGAAAAAGTCCTTGGGTTCAAAGACTCCACATCAGCTCAGCTATATGGCCATGGTTGCGTAAAAGAGCTAGGTGGCAGGTGTGAACTTCCTCTTTCACATGAATGCCAAAGCCTGCTTGACCAATTTAACAAAATATACCTTTAAAAACTCTGGATTTCAATTCTAAATAATTAGTAACTCATTTCAAAAATCAGTAGGAAAGAAAAAAAAAAAAAAAAAAAAAAAAAAAAAAAAGACGCCACCTCCCTATATTCCAGTAGTTCTCTGGATGATTCTGAAACAATCAATATTCAAAATTTCAAAATTTCAAAATTTCATTTGGTTTTGTTTATTAAAGTTTTTTTTAATCTTTGTTTTTGAGAGAGAGAGAGAGAGAGAGAGAGAGAGAGAGAGAGAGAGAAAGTGGGGGAGGAACAGAGAGAGGGAGACACAGAATCCAAAGCAGGCTTCAGGTTCTGAGCTGTCGGCACAGAGCCCAATGCGAGGCTTGAACTCACAAACTGTGAGATCATGACCTAAGCTGAAGTCGGACGCTTAACCAACTGAGCCACCCAGGCACCCCATTTGGTTTTGTTTTTTAAACAAGCAACTAGAGAAACTGGATTAAGATATGCATTTTCAGTTCCCAAGAAGCTGGATATGTGGCTAAATCTTTTTTTTTTTTTAATTGTCCTAGAAAAAAGTAGCCCCCTGACTCTACAAGCAACGAGCATAGCATTTCGACCTGAATTAACAAGAATACACTGTTATCCAGTGGTTATGTAAACCAGAAGTAATCTCTCCATAGCCCTCACCTCAGTTCAAAATCCTGACCATACATGGCCTTGGATAGAAGTCGAATTCAAATCAAGGGGTCAAACTGCATTCTCTGGGGAGATGTCTCACTGCTCAGGAAGGGTCATTCTAAACAGGGCATGAAGGAAGTGATCACATTTAAAACAACCTGCTCTTGCTTCACATCTGCTTGGTGCCATCTCCAGGTTTAATCATGGTTTCTCAGAGATCCCTGCACCACTGAGGGTATTACACTAATTCATGATTAGTCAAGAATATGGGAAACATGTGATAACCAGGGAAAGCAAACCAAGCTCATTAAAAGAAAAGAGTTTTTCCAAAACAGAAGTTACAGCTATTTCTTCAATAATAACGCTGGATATTAAAGAGAACGAATCTGTTTCTTGGCTTGCAATTCTTAACTATCATTATTTGTCTTTCTTAATCACCTTTTGGGACCGGCCTCCTTCTCTTTCAACAACATCATATTCCTCTCCCCACCACTGAACCTCCTCCAACTTTCCTGTGAAACTTAGGGAAAAAGAAAGTGCTAAGGATTAAACCTTGACTATTAGTGTGGACAATTCCTCCCAAATTACCGGTGGATAAGCATAAAAGCAACAAATGGACTACATTTTTGAAGAAAAACAAACCAAAAGCCTTCAAAGTTCTTCCAAAAGTTTAAAAATAATGTAACAAAATGCAAGACAGCTGAATTGTTTTATACCGCTGCACAATACAAATCAGTATTAACATTCTTCTTAAAAGCCCTTAGGACCCACACGCAGATCTACTGGGCACCACCTTCAGGTAATGTGAAAGATGGGAGGGAAAGGAAAAACCACAGGGATAGTTAATTCCCAGGTTCATCCTTCACGTGCCTTCCTATTCGAGAGCTCAGCACATGTGTGCTGCTCGCATCCTGTGTTTTTACCAACAATGGGGTGAATCAAGGACAGAAGCAACAGCAAGAACAAGTTTTAGGTTTAAGTGGTCTGTATTATGCCACAGAGGCTAATCAAATACAGTTACTTGCAGGGAGTTATTCATGACAACGGGAGAGGAATAAGGATTCTAAATCAGTGATGAAGATGTGAATGACTTAATTTACTGGAATGAAAAGTGTAATTAAACAGATCTAGAAGATTTCCTAGCTAACATATTTTAAGGGGAAAGAGAGGAAAAAAGGGGGCAGTATCATTAATAAGAAAAACTATATTCAGGGCTTTAATGTGACTTCACTGGACATTAACCACATACTCCCCAGAGAGATTCACAGATTTTTAAGAACTATAAGGCTAACCTAAAAGGACTGTGGCATATTAATATTTTAATATTATTCGTTCTTCCATCACCAAAAAGGCAGGCTTCAACGTCAACCATTCCTCTTTGCCATTATAAATAGATGTTGACAGATTATCAGACAAATAACTGCATTTAATTTACATGTTGAATATGAAATCCTACCACCTATGATAAATCAGATACTTTAACATGTTTATAAAATCTTCACTATGAAAAGTAAAAGAAATGGATAATATCCAGCATTTTCAATTACAGGAAACTTGCCCTGAATCTGCAACTTCTGAAGGCAAAATATGGTTACCGTTAACTAATCCCACTGGAAGTTTCCAAAAATTTTTGTTCCAAAAGGGAAGAAAAGCAAAATTAATTTTAAAAGTTCATAAAGAAATGTAAAACATTTCCATTACTCTTTTCAGTCCGCGCAGCCCAAACAGAAGGGCTGCTTCCTCCAATGGCTTAAGACCATGTGTGCCTTACTGAATCATGATTGCTACTTAATGTATTTACAGAGTTATAATCACAACAGGCAACTTCCATTCTGCAGTTTGTGTCATCTGCAGTATAATCTAAAAGAGAAAAAGAAATATTTACCAAATTACCTGCTACTGCTGTTATTCTTCTTGGATTTGTTCCTCCGTTTTAAGGCATCTCTGTCCTTGTTATTGTATGGTAACATGGAGGCATAACCATGTTCAGCTTCTAGAAAACCGAAGGATCCAGTTAATGAATGAGCCTAGAACATTCAATACTCTCTCCCCTCCACAGCATTTCCTTTTTAAATTTTATTTTTCAATACAAGAATATCGTGGAAAGAAATAAACGAAGCAAAGTGGAATTCTTAGAACAATGATTGTTTTTTAAAATTGTGTGAATACCCTCAGTTCGGAGCAGGTGTAAGGAGCATTCCAGCTGCTCATTGTTGAGAAAGACACGGCAAGTCGCTAAGCTCGTGGTGCCTGGGTTTCCCACTGGCGAAGTCCAGCAGGTTGGTGTGCTTTAAGTGGGACCAGCCTCAGGCGAAGGTGCAGGGCAAACACCCGGAGCCCAGAGGGCGGGGAAGGGGGCGCGTAAGGCAGGCGCTGCTCCTCCGGCTGGGGGACGGGACGCCAGGCCCACTCGGGGGCCGGTCGGGACGAGCCCCGGTGAGGTAAACCAAGGGCCTGGCCGAGGGGACCCCGGGCACCCCATTCGCTTCGGGGTGGGGACGGAGCTCGGGACCCCGGGGGGCAGCGGCCCCTTTTCCACCTCCATTCATCGCCTTTGGGGCAGCAGTGGCCTCCCTTCGGACCGCGCGTGGGGAGAGCTGGAGGGGTTGGGAGCGCTCGCGGTCGCGCTCTCCGCGCTTCCAACCACCCCCAGAGCGGCTGGGAGCCCCTACCCGCGGCGGGGCCCCTCAAAGCCCCCGGCCCCGGCTCGGGACGGACCCCTCCCATCCCCGTGCACCTCTCTCCCGCCGCTCCAGGTAGTCGGCCGCCTCTAGCAGCATCTGGATGTTCATCCGAACCGCCGCCGCCATTCTGCACCGGGGGCCGGAGCCGCGGGACCAACCCCCACTGCCCACGGGCTCGCCGCCGCCGCCGGACACCCGCACCCTGCTGTGGACCCCGCAGAGCAGGGTTGAGAAAGCCTCTTTGGCGACCGCGCTCGCCGGAAGGGGGAGGGGGGCCGGTGAGCTGGGCACCGCCAACACCGTGACAGAACCCGAAGAAGAGCAGCAGCCGCCACCGCCGCGGAGTGTTTATCTCCGACTCACCATCCCCCCGCCCCCAGCCCCTTCTCTTGACAGGCCCGCTTCGGCTGCGTTCCTCATTGGACACCCTAGAGAATGCCCCGCCCCTGGCCTTGTCCGATTGGGGAAAAACATTACGGCCCCGCCCCCTAGAGTCCGCTCCTCTCTCTGGTTGGCTGCGCTTGACAAGGCCCGGGCTCCACCCCCTCTTTCCAATTGGTGACAGGATTCGCAACTCCGCCTCGTGCTCCTTCCCTGTTTTCCATTGGTTCTATACCGACAACCCCCTTTTGCTTTGTTAGTATTGGCTCAGAGCTACAGAAAGCAAGCCACTTTGCTTGTTTCCCATTGGTGGAGCCGGCTGAACACCACCCCCCCACCCAGCTACGGTGACGTCACCTTTCTCCAGTCCCGGCGAGCCCTAAGTGGCCCGTGATCCGCGGCGCCGCTACTCCTCCCCAGATCTGGCACTGGGGCTGGGGAGGGCTGACCTGGGCGCCGGCGCTGATTCACCGGCCGCCGCGGAGCTATGGTCTATCTGGCCCAGCCCGGCCCCGCCTCGGACCTGTTGCCGGGGCCTGTCCCCGGGGAAAAGTTCCGAGGGCTTGCCGTGTATCCCTAGAGTTGAAGGCTGGTACCGCGCGTCGCCGGACGCTCTGTCCCAATCGGGTTCCGGGCTGTAGCCCGTCGTGTGGCGGCCACGGTCCCAGAGGTTCCAGGCTTCCCCGGACCTAGGCAGTGGTGGGCCCCGCGGCGAATCCCCCTTAAGGGAGAGCGACGCCTGCAAGCTGGTGGGCCCTGAGAGCCCTCGGGCGCCACGTGGCTGTTGGGATTGAGGAGGGAAAAGCGTGGCTTTCGTTGAATGCTCGCCGCGCAGCGTTTTTTCTCTCCCTATAAAGTGGAATCGCGGGCGGCTGTATACAGTCCTGTGCGTCTCTTCAATGGCACCCCCTACCCCTACCCCCAAGTGCAGGCATAATCACTCCCTTACACGAGGGGGCTTTAAAGCTCAAAAACTTACTGTACCTGCGGAGTGGCATAGAATCCCGAGGTTCTTTGACCTAAATCTCGTTCAGGGTCTTTTCTGACCTTCTAATTCTGGATGAAAAGATTAACAAAACAAAACAAAACAAAAAACTTCCTCTGTTCAAGACTATAAATTATGGTACCAATATAAAAATACAGAACTGGGGCTCCTGGCTGGCTCAGTCAGTAAAGCATGCGCCTCTTGACCTCAGGGTGGTGAGTTCAAGCCCACATTGGGCATGGAGCCTCCCCCCCCCCACCCCCCCGTGACTAAGAAATTTAAGTATTATTTCCTAAGCCTATCAAGATTTTTGAGATGAAAACTATCTTGAGACCCAAGTTACATTAATATATGGACATCACCATTTTAAAAAGAAATGTATTGGTAAGCTTGAACATATTTCATAAAGCTTTTTTAAAAAGTTTGTTGCTAATACATGAAAATAATAGCTTACTATGTGTCACCTACATTATAGCTAATCCTCCAAATAACCCCATTAGGTTAATTATCTACATTTTGCAAACAAGGAAACTGAGGCCCAGAGAAGCTAAATGGCTTTCCTTGTTATCCATTCTGCCAAAGATGGAGACTGAACCTAGGTCTGTTTCGCCTAGAGGCCATGCTACCAATGTTTCGGTTGGTAGTTGTTCTAAAAACAAGAGTTAAGAAATAGGTTTGCAGAGCGAGTTACAGAACACTGACACTCAAACGCTGGGGCGGGGCGGGGCGAAAAACATGCACATGTAGGCATGATGGGAATTTTTTTAAACGTGTTTTTTTTAATGTTTGACAAATCCATTAAAATTAAATGAACTCGATAGAATTAACAAGTAGAATAAATGTAGTAAATCATGCCTGACACATAGGAAACATTTTCTGGTTTTAATGGTTAATTGAATCTAAAAGGTTATTCTTGATGAAAGCTAATGAACACAGTGAAGATAAAGGTTTTCAAGAAAGCACAAAGAACTAGAAATGAGAATGGAGATATAACATTTTTTACAAGTATTTTTGTTGTTATGTGAAATTCAAGTTTAACTGGCCATTTTATATATTTTTTAAATGTTTACTTAAACGAGCATGAGTGGGGAAGGGACAGAGAGAGAGAGAGAGAGAGAGACAGAGAGAGGATTCCAAGCAGGCTGCATGCTGACAGCACAGAGCCCTATGTGGGGTTCGATTTCAGGACCAGAAGATCATGGCCTGTGCCAAAATCAAGAGTTAGACGCTTAACCAACTGAGTCACCCAGGCGGCCCTTAATGAGTATTTTTTAACTGCAAATTATTTGTAAAACAAATTTGAAAATCATAATGAAATGAATACAATTTTACTAAAGTACCAAAACTGACAATAGGAAAACACTTTGATTTCATTATCTTAAATTTGGATTGTGTATACTTTTATATTTTCTCTGTGATTTTATCATGAATATTCAGCATATTTCTTTATCCTCTCTCTTATCCTCAACTCCTTTAGCCCAGTCTTATTTCAATACTATGATCCTTCCCCTTGAATCAACTTGATTGAAAACCACACATAAAAAGGAAAAAAGGTTGAAATATGAGTCAGAAATAGTAAATTAATAACTTAAATACCAACACGTTTGTTGTGTTTTTTTTTGTTTTTTTTTTGTTTTTTTTTTTTTTAAATTTTTTTTCAACGTTTATTTATTTTTGGGACAGAGAGAGACAGAGCATGAACGGGGGAGGAGCAGAGAGAGAGGGAGACACAGAATCGGAAACAGGCTCCAGGCTCTGAGCCATCAGCCCAGAGCCTGACGCGGGGCTCGAACTCACAGACCCGCGAGATCGTGACCTGGCTGAAGTCGGACGCTTAACCGACTGCGCCACCCAGGCGCCCCATGTTGTGTTTTTTTTAAGATTTTATTCTTAAGTAATTTCTACCCCCAACGTGGGGCTTGAATTTATAACCCTGCGATCCAGACATGCATGTTCTACCGACTGAGCCCAACAGGTGCCCATCACCAGGTTTATCTTAAACTGTGAACAAAAATACTAAATTATATAACAATCACAGAATTAGATGAAAGAATGGACCCTTTCTGTTCCCTGGCTGTGGTGGAAGGAATTATCCATTAGCCAGTAACACCTACTCGGAATTAGTGTCATAAATTTCAAAGGGATTTAGTGCCATCTACTGGACGTCAAGTAGTAAGTTATAAAACAAAGACTTTTTCTAGAAATTATCTTACACAGATGTATACAATGCAGTTAAGATCATCTAAAAGTACAAGTTTTCTTTTTTAATGTTTGTTTATTTTTGAGAGAGACAGAGAGACAGAGCATGAGCAGGGGAGGGGCAGAGAGAATGGGAAACACAGAATCCAAAGCAGGCTCCACTCTCTGAGCTGTCAGCACAGAGCCTGACGTGGGGATCAAACTCACGAACCGAGAGATCGTGACCCGAGCCGAAGGTGGATGCTGAACCAACTGAGCCACCCAGGCGCTCCAAAAGTACAAATTTTGAAGAAAGAAGTGAAAATCCTAAGACAAAGTATACGTGGTGACCCCCAGTACACACAGCCTCAAAGGTATTACAAAAGCATTGACCAAGAGACACAAACCCAAAAATAAAAAATGGGAATTCCAGAATGTTTGAACCTACATTTTGTGACCAGAATTTTAAATAAAAAATTATGCATAGGGGTACCTGGATGGCTCAGTTGGTTGAGTGTCTGACTTCGGCTCAGGTCACAATCTGGAGGTTCGTGAGTTCAAGCCCCACATCAGGCTCACTGCTGTCAGTGC